ATTATCTACATTTGTTATTGCATAAGTTTTACCATTTTACCAGTTTATAATTCTCACATTGTAGACTAACTGAGGAAGACCCGAAGAAGGGTCGAAACGTATTTATACTTGATATCATTAAAGAGAGAATTTAATTCGTACTGTGAGAACTGAGATCCGTTCATTTTGTGGCTCACATTGGCACTTCTCCTTCCTTAATTTTTTTTTAATTTTTAATACCCTGTATATTTGCATTGTAATAAAAATTAAACATAAATAACGCTAAATATAAAATAACACTATATGTATACATAAATGTAGTATAATAAAAAGAACGCGGACTTGGATATAGTTTTGGTAGCAAATAAACAAAAATGTTTGCTCATGAATAAATCTTCAGCAGTAGTATCTACACTTGTCGTCAACATTTTTTGCATAATGCATTTTACGTCGATAGATTAAAATGTTATTGCTAACATTCAATTTTAACATTTCTTTATATACGTTGTATAATGCAAATGAAAAATAGAATCACTCGAAATCAAAGTCCTTCCTTTCTATTTCTTCTAATAGATTTGTCTCATTGGATGTTTGTATTTCACTTTGAAATTGCACAGTATCATTAAGATCTTCGTCTCCTGATGAAGCACTCGACGTATCTCTGCAATTAATCAAAGAGAGATTAGAAGGGTAGAAACTGTAATAAAGGAATTCATTTTTAAGATACAATAATGCATTACTCATCAACAAAGTATGTTCTTCTTTTCCTCAAATTGTATACTTTCGCTTCTGTCTTCCATTTCACTGAAACCTCATCCCGATCTTTCTCAAATTCTGAACTTGAATAGGACCTGCATTAAAATGAGAAGTGACTAACAAATGGAAAGTGCGATAGAACAATTAATGTTTTAAGTTTTGCATGTACGTATTACTGGATCATTCGGCCAAAACATTAATTTTTTTCAATTCAAACTTAGTGAGTTGTAATCTCTTCAAGTATCAGAATTTGTATTTATGGTAATCTGTGAGATGTTTTATGTTTTATACTTTAAGTAAAGTGAATAATTACTCTTCACTTGTCTCTGTTTCTTCTTTCTTTCGTTTAAATAGCTTCCGGGTGTTTGTTCGTACTGCACTTTCTTCTTGAGGCCCATTGCCATGGAAATCGGGATTATCGTTCAATGATCTTGAAGTAGTCTGCTCAGCTCTGTATTTATACACAATATGATTAGTAAAACATGCATTGTACTTAATGAAGATAAATTATAATAATTTATTATAAAAGTTTATTATAAATACGCAGGCTATCCGATAAATAACCGGACTGACGCTATAAAACATAAAACAATAGTCGTATTTATAAATGAATTTTTTATTCGAAATATGTTTCTCCTGCATCGATGTTGGAGGACGATCAAGTAATGAACTGAACGATTTTTCGAGTTCTGTTTTCTGAATTGCCTTGAATAATCGCCTTGTTACACACGACAACTTTGATTGCTTCAGTATATTATTCTATCGGGTCCCTTCATCAGGATTTTCAGTTTCGGAAACTGAAGAAAATCGTGCTAAATCTGAAGAATAAGATGAATGGTCAAGAACGTACACTCGTTTTTGTGTCAAAAACTGCTTGATGATAACAATCTTGTGGGCCGGTGAATTGTCATACAAGAGTAACCAGCTACCAAGCTTTTTGTATTCGGGTCTTGGTCTTGCAATTACATGGATTTGTTTCAGAGGGTCAAACGGTACTCGCTCTTAAGCAAATTCTGACTCTTAAAAAATATGCATTCTCAACCATTGATCTGATTCTCCAGATTTAGTGCGATTATTTTCCGTTGTCAAAACTAAAAATGTCAATAAAAGGGTCTGAAGTGAATCAAAGTCGCTGTGACAAAAGTACTTGAAAAAATTACGAAATTAGAAAGATTCCTTCAAAAGTCGTTCCGCTCATTACTTGATCTCTCTCAACGCTGCATCGAAACAAGAGAAACATTTTGAATAAAAAGAAAGATTTACGCCAATACGACCGTTGTTTTATTTTAATCCAACACACACAGCCGGACGTTCGCGATTCTTTAACCAAAATTTATCATTATTATATTTGTGCCATTATAAAATCTTGTATTTACGCTTTCTTTAAATGCTATTGTATTTTTGTACCTCTTTTATACCTATTGTAATTTTACATGTTTTTCACATGTATACATACCGACAGTAAATTAAGTGTTGTCTTAAACACGACGTTGGATATCTACCATTTATTTTTAATGTTTTTTTACATCCTTTGCATATGGCATTGTTGTCCGTTACATCGTACTTTTCCCATACGCGTGATATTCTTCGCTCTAATTTAGATTTACTCGAATCTTTTATTTTTAAGCGGCTTATGAAAGAATAGATGCAAGGTTAGATATAAAATTAATCAGTTTTACAATAGTTGCATATTGCGATTATATATTTATAAGCTTTTTTGGGCACTATTTTATCATTATATCTATTACAAACACATAAATATTTTAAATGTTCCTCGGATGTGTACTTACGGACAATGAAGTAAGTGTCTGGTTACATCTGATGTTGAAGCTCTATCATATATCGTTATTGTTGTTTTACACGCTTTGCACGTGGCATTGTTGTCCGTTACATCATACTTATCCCATACGCTTGATATTTTTGGCATCGTCTCTAATTTAGCTTTATCCGGGTTATCAATTTTACAATTGCTTATGAAAGAATAAATGTGGTACAATGTCAAATATTTTTTCTACTATAACTGTATTATTATGTTTTCACACTTACTCTGCATGTTTTTTCATCATTAAGGGCTGGTTTTTTCAACCTCTTGGTAAGCTAACAAATAGTCAAAGTAAACACCTATCTTTGTCTAATTTAAAGGAAAAACAAAGATATGTATGTGATTTAACTATTAGTTAATTTACCAAGGAGTTGGAATAACCAGTTCTTAATCTATTATGTACTTTTCAATATTTCAAATATTTCTCAGATGTATACTAACCGACAATTGAATAAGTGTTGGCCTAATTTAATTGTTGGATGTTTAACATTTATATTAACTATTTTTTTACATTCTTTGCACGTTGCGTTCTTGTCCGTTACATCATACTCATCCCATACGCGTGATATTCTTCGTATCTTCTTGAACTGGTATTTATCATTATTGAAGTGGCTTATGAAAAAATAAACGCGGTAAGATGTCAAATTAATTAATTTCTTGCAATAACTGTATATTGGCATTACATTCACACATTGTCCATAGATATTATTTCATCAGTAAACCTATTATCGGGGTTGGGAAGTAACTCATTACTTGTAACGAAGTTTACAGTTACAGTTACTTTTTTTGGTAACTCTAACTTAACTTCGTTATTTTCTCTTACTCAGCTACATTAATAGTTACTTTATATATATTTTAAACCACCACAGATCGCATCAGGCCTTGCATTCGCGCATAAAAACCTTTATCGACACTTCACAATTCAAATGCAGATTTGATATTTTTATTTTCAATACAAGAAAGGAACTGCAAAGTAACGATTCGTTACTTTTTGAGTAACCGTAACTGTAACGCGTTACTTTTCAGAAGGTAACTTGTAACTGCATATTAGTTACATTTTTAGCGAAAAAACTGTAACTATAACTGGATACTTTTATAAAGCATATAACTTCTCCAACCCTGCCTATTATATACACATCGATGTTTTAAATAATTGTGAGACGTATACATACCGGCAATGTAATAAGTGCTGCTTTAAATTTGTTGTAGGACATTTACCCTTTATTGTTATGGTTCTGTTACATCCTTTGCACGTTGCATAGTTGCCTCTTTCATCGTACTTGTCCCATAAGCGTGATCTTCTTTTTCCTTTCTTTAAATTATATTTATCCGGGTGAATAACTTTTAAATGAATTATTAAAATATGCACGCCATACATTGCCAGATTAATTCTTTTCATGCAATGCTTGCATGTTGCCGTTAGACATGTTATTTTGTAATTTTCCTTTATGCTGTAACGCCTTGGATGTTCGTCTAATTCTGTTATTTCATGTTCATCGTATAAGTGATATTTTAAGATTTGCAGTCTATCATGATTAGAAAATACTTCTTCGCAACGATTGCACTTTAGTGTGTCAGAATTTTCTTTTGTATAATGTTTCCACATCCATTCCTCAATTACCATTTTAGTCGTTTTATATCACACAGTGTTTGATATTAAATATGATTGCTTGCTGAAATTATAAGAAAAACTTCTTTGAAGTTGGACATAAAAGGTCGAAGAAAGCGATATAATTTCTCATTAAAATATAGGGTAAGCCGGGAGAAGATCCCCTAGTTATATTGTTGAAATAGGAATAAACCAATAGTCACAATGCAAATTTTGTGTAAACTAATATTTAAGCTTTCCTATGGCAAAAGAATATTAGAAAACGAAGGGAGAGTTTGTTTATAGTCACCAGTGATGATTAAAACTTAAAGCGGGAAACTTATAGTCAACTTATAGTCAGAGTATTAAATATACTATAATCTAGTATTAAACAAATAAAGGAATTTGCCAGTCAGGTTGACTATAAGTTTCCCGTTTTAAAAATTATTAGAAATATAAAATTATGCGCTAACGTAATCTCAAATAATGACCGCACTATAATCCCTTAATACATTTCCATGCGTTATACACATTTCATATACAAATATCAGTTGAATTATATTCGCATAATATGTTATATATATATTCCTTTATGATCACTTTGCAATATATCATAGTTTCAATAATCATAATAATGACGTTAGTGCTTTATTGCATAACTTTCTCAGGGTAAATATAAAACTTTTAATAACAGCGTGACGACGTTAAGAGTTTTGCGTTCATCCTGGACAAAGAGGCAGTTTTGCAATAAAAAACTAACGTCATTATTGCGATTTCTGAAATCATCATGGCTTTATTCATCACTTAAAAGTTATATCGTTGTAACTGCAGCATCATTTTAACGTCATCGTGAACCCTTGTTCTACCTGGGTAATAGACACAATAAAAAGGAAATGTGTTAAAAGTTAATACTTTTTGCTTGAAATATACATTCGTCGAATGTTAGAGCATTCACACAATACATTAAGAAACTCTATTCTAATATAAGAGTGCAGCAATTTTGTGCTTAGAATTCGCGTCATGAAAATATGGCTATTGAGTCAGAGACAACTGTTTCACGTGGATTCACAAAATATGTTGAATAAATCCACTTTAATGAAAAGAAATAATAAAATAATACCAAACAACAATGCAATATTATACAAATCACTTGATTTGAATAGATCTCAGGTTTTTAAAATTTAACTTCATAAATTTAGACATCTATGCACGCGTCACTTACATTACTACTAAAATATATGACCATGTGATGAATTACGAAGTAAATGTTAACAAAAAGGCATCTTTGACTAACGGGCATCTTAACACGAATTAAACCGAATCGTTTACTTGTGAACAAAGTAAGAACGGCCGATCTTAAATTTAAGTAATGTGATAAAATAAGAGTCGGAGAATCACGAAAGTCTTACCAAGTATTTCATTCCTCACTACGTGTATTAATTGAATGCCCATGCATTAATGGCCATTCATCTTCTGTATGAATGTCCTAATGACTTTCGATGACGAAAAGTAAAAAGGTAAAATACAATACAAACTCTCAGAATACCTCCCTTATAAGAGAAGGCTCAGAACTGATCTGCTGATTTTAATTAAACTTGGCAATGTACAATACAACGGTCTACGGAAACATAACGATACACCTCTATTTGAAGATGAAGACTATGAACTGTTTGCGAGAAACGGGTAGAACTCATTTTACGACAGCGTCAAGTTTCTACAAAACAGGTCAGACAGATATGCAGGAATATTATATATGTATTTTGAAGAACTCTGCAAGTTTGCAAAGTGTCATCGAAATCGGCGGAGTTCAATACTGAGCCTTCCCTTATAAGTTATAATCAGTACAAGATTATCTTTTTACAAAAGGTAAAAAAACAATGCATGTATGTACATGCGTTCCTGACGTACAAAAGATGTGATATTAAAAATTAACACCAATTTATGATTGACAGTAAAATCACATATAATTATTTTACTTGTTTGTATAGAGCATATTGTAAAAAAACTGATATGTAAATTAGTATAATAATAACAATTATTTATTGTACTATTCTTTGTATTTGTAACTAACAAATCCTTAAGTAGGTGATGTGTTATGTGTATGTATAATAACATATACTCGCGCGCGCGCGCACGAAACATTTTATATAAAGACACACAGTTCAATGTAAATGCACAAAAATTCATATATACACATATATTCATTCATATATTATGCATAAATCTACATACATACATGCGCAAACACATTATTCATACCAAGCACATATGTATATCTCAATAGCGCACTTGGATGAGCTATAAAAATATTTAAGTACGGTTATCACGTTAATGGTTTAGGAGATTTACATTTTTATCAGTATAATTTATTATAAAACGTATTAAAAATATTATATTTATATAGATCACAACTGCTTTATTGATCTTAATTCAACTGTTTGGACAAAGTTAAAGTAAAGATATATAAACGTTCTCCTTTTTAAGGGCAAAATGACTTCTTATTCTATTGAATAACATAGATAAAACTTTTCATGGTTTTAATAATACTGTTTAGTACACTGTTTAGTAAGATCTACACACACAGTGTCTAAAAATATTATAAATGTAAAAGCGAAGGTATCAGAATTTCAATACCACAAGTCAGAAAGAGAGAGAGAGAGAAAGAGAATGTGTATGTATGTGTGTGTTTATAGTATGATATAATATGGCATATAATAACCATGCTCTTGACTTAGAAAATGATCCCTGGTGTCGAAAATAGGAAAATTCTGCTGTGGCTTACTGTGATTACTTAAAAATTTTAATATACATTAATGTCAAATTAGAAATTTATGTCATGATATCTCCATTCGTAGAATACGAAGAAAATGCTAAAAACACTTTTATTATGTAATTTAAATTAGCTATTGATTCAAATTAATTAGAACTTAATCACTTTAGCCGAAAATGTAAACGTCGTTTATATGAAGGGCTAAAACAAATAGAACCGCGGCCTCCAGGTGGAATATAAAACTCACAATGACACCATTTAAAAGCCCATTAGAAAAATATGAATAAGATCATATTGATCTTATTTACATTTTGGCAAAGTTTCGATGACTTATTTTTTTAATAACATATTGACTATGATACCCCAAGAGAAAAATATTACGCAAAATTGTATGACAGCAGCTTTATTTACACTACAAATTATAAAATTATTGTTATAAGAGATGAGAAATAAGCTTGACTGCATGAAATATGGCACTTTAAGTATCAATATTATAATACAAAATAAATCTATAATAACGTATTAACAGTATAAGAAACGATAAATGAGTATTAATATAAATATGATTCTTTCAGAATTACCAAACAAATCAAATTTAAAACATAACTTATTTCTTAATATTATTGTATACATAAAGCTTAATGGAAATCTGTAATATGCCTTTAGCTGTATCTAATGGTACAAATTATAAAAGAATATATTTACAAAAAGTCTTCTTGTAACACATATGAAGTATATAGGTACATATAAAGCGCATCAGATAAATAAATAATATCGATATATGCTACACAATGTGCCGATGTCATCGGTTTATCTGATGCCATACCAAGCATTAATATAATATTAAGTGTATCGGAAAGTTCCGTCCCAATGTTTCCTTGACAAGTTTTGTAACGTGAGACCAAGCGTTGTCATAAAGCAAAATCATTTTATGCTGTCTCGTTTTATATTCTAGTCGTTTTTCGTGCAATGCTCGGCTCAAACGGAACATTTGTTCTCGGTAGAGATCTCTCTGTGACTGTTTGACCACTTTTCAATAGCTCATGGTACACCACACCTTTCTGATCCCACCAAATACCGAGCATTGCCTAATTTCCATAGATATTCCGCTTTGGCGTCGATGATGAGGGTTGGCCGGGGTCGCAAATGGTTTGTCGACGTTTGGGGTTGTTCAAATAAATTCATTTTTCATTCCCAGTGATGATACGATGTAAAAACCCCTTTGTTGCCTAGTAAGCAGAATTTCGCAGGTGGTTTTTCGCCTTTCAACGTTTCTTAGCTTTCAGTTTATATGGGACCCATTTTCCTTCCTTGTAGACCCTTCCCAAGGCTTTTAAACGATCGGAAATGACAGATTGAGCACAGTTTAATGTTTCTGCAAGTTGACTTTCGGTTTGACATGGATCTTCGTCCAGCAATGTCTGCAATTCTTCGTCTTTTGGCAATCCAGAACCTTCTTTGTCCTCTATATCAAAATCACCCTTTTTAAAGCGTCGATACCATTCTCTGCAGCTTTTATAGGAAGGAGCACTATCACCATAAGTTTCTACAAGCGCTCGATGAGCTTCAGCTGCAGTTTTCTTCATATTGAACAAAAGGATTAACACTTGGCGTATATGATGCTCACTTGGCTCAAATTTCAACATTTTCGATGCAGTACAAAACAATGTTATTGATGCCAACGTATACCTTTGTGTACTGAATTTTATTGACAAATGTCAAAACTAAAAACGCGCCTATTTGCTGCTAAACGGACGGAACTTTCCGATTAATATACTGAAATGGGAACAATGGAAACAATGGCCATATCACATTAATACAAAAATAACAAATCCTTTCTCTCTTCTGACTGGAATGCGATGAAAATTCGAAAAACTGGCATAACAGAAAACGGAACTTTTTAAATTTCCAAACTGGACATAACGTTTTCAAAGTAGAAATCCTGATACAGAAAAACAGTCATTATCGTAACATACAACATCTAAATTAAGTAAAGTAAGGTAAACGAACCTACTTCGAAACAGCACCTATGTTTGCATCACAAGTGAAACACATCACAAAATTAATTTATGATCATTAATTATCATAAAAACTGCTATCGCCCTTATCATAATTAATTATCTCTCTCTCTCTCAACGGAGCTATTATTTAATATATCTTCATTTATGATGTTCTTTGTCACCAATATCAAAATCTGACGTTACGTGATGGCTAATACGAAACATTAAAGTGTTCCAAAGTAGATTCGCTTATTCTAATGTATTTTGTAAGTCAAATCCGAATTTTGGACATTAAAAACTTCGCTAACTTTACTTCCAGAATTACTTGCTATTTTGTGTATCGTTATTGTACATTTGCGAACAGTTAAAATATTTCTTGCTTCTTGAGATTGGAAACGTATACAAATTAATGGAAAGAACGGAATAGATTGTTTCATATAAAACAGTCCGAGACGAATGAAGAGATGCGATAGTTTCACGCCAAATATAAGCGCCCCGAGTTATGTTTTCACCGTTCTATCTTTCATTAATTGCATAGGCTTTAACGGAAATTTCTAAAGAAACTGACTAAATAGTAAAAAATATGCTCAATTAATCAGTCATGAGTATTCTAATTCAGTTTCCAAAATTAGGATATGACCTCCTTTCGACACTTCATCTTACATACAATGCAATTACAATTACTCGTTCTGAAGAATTTGCGTCATTAGATTTTCCACTGATTAATTGTATGGAACCAACGCGACATTTTCTTCTCCGCCTGTCGAATTGTTATTCAGAAAATACCTTTAAACCAGCACCTATATACAAAATAAAGATCAGTGTTAAAACCACCTGAAAATAAGATACATGGTTTGTGGAGCTAAATTTGAACTTACCATTGATTGCTTCGTGATATTTCGTATTTTTAAGTTTAAGTTTTAATTAGCCTTTATAACCTCATATAGGAAAACGGCATGGAACGTCTGGGGGGTCCGGGGTCTGGAGTTGTATAATGGATGGGGATGGAAACATGGGGTCACAAACGTGCGGCGATTACAGAAAACGACTTCAGCGCACTCTGTTAAATGTATGAGGAATTTGCGTATGAAATTTCAAAATCAGTCATGATGAAATTATCTTTTTTTGTACACAATTACTTGTTCGTTTTATTATTTACTCATATAATCTAACAAATATATTCAAAAGGCACGAATGTTTCGAAAATTCATGCAAATATCTTGAAAAGTTTGAAATAAATTTCTTTACATCTTCAAGTCACTTTTGTATTATTTTTGCCCAGGTAATTTTTAAGTGACAAGTAAAATCATCATTATGTCAGTTAAATAACTACCGAACAACAGAGTTTGCTTTATTTCTGCTGTCACTCTGTTGGCAAGTTATGTCAGCAGCGTCTGTTCAATTTCCGCCATCAATCTCGGCTGCGTTCCGATATTAATTGCCAGTACTGAAAATCTATAGTTTACGTCACGTATAACCAGAGACTGCCAGAGAGAAACCTGAGAGCGGCCACGCCGGCATTTTAAGGCCTTCACACATAAAATTCCGTAAGGACGTAAAACGTAAGCGTAAGAAAATCAACAGGTTGGATTTGCTACTGCTTGCGTCATTGCCTTACGTTCTCGACTGTGATTGGTCGATTTTCTTATGCTTACGTTTTACGTCCTTACGGAATTTTGTGTGTGAAGGCCTTTACTCGATACAGTTTTCGCTCGGTTGATTACAGCGCCTTACGCCCATTTTCCTTTTTGGAACTATTTCGCTACACCCATTTTCAAGCACTGCCGATAAAGTCTCCACTTGGTGCGTGTCCGTGCTACGCCCTGTTACGTCTGATTGTGAGTTATAGAAATTATCAAGTTCTCGACTAAGAACTCGTAACCGAACAAATCAGGGAAATTAATAAGCCATCACTCGTCAAATCAGTCAATTACCAGAATACTGTAAATTCAAATCTCTTCCCTAGTTTTCAGCCACCCTGCATTCACCGGGTTTACTGGGGATTAGGGGATTAGTGATCCATTGTCTGAACAAAGTATAAGTAATTGTAAAAATCTTTACTCACCAAAAATTGATACTGTCTTATTCTCTTTATAAAAGATATTGTATATATGTATGTTTATATTGCGAAATACTTTCAGCTCCTTACAAGAGAGTGAAATGCCTCCTGCTTCCCTTACAGTAAGTTAGAATACGGTGAAACAATAATGCGTTGAAATTTGGTGAAGTCAGCGAACGTCTTAGCGGTAGAGTGGTTGAAGAATAACTAACTGTGTGACAACGACGAAGCGGTGGTATCTGGTCCGCATATTCTCCATGGCGGGGGTAGTAGGGCTAGAGGAAACCTCGTCTCGTTTGTCTTTTGGTATGTCAGTAGCCGCCACAGGGTATTGGGATCCTTCGTTGTTTATGGGAGATTAGCGAGCTGGTAGAGATAAGTGGTATTGTTCGAGTGAAGCTTTTCTATCGGTCTTCGCTTATAACGCTTCCTTATAAAATATTACAGTTGCGTCTTTCTTGATGTGGCAGTACATATGTATAAGAATGTATCGGATTTTTTCGTATCACGGATTTTGCAATTTTCTATTATTATAAAATGCACTCGAATCACGTTTAGAGCGACGTGCTTATCTGCCTATCTATCGCGATAAGTTCAGCAAAATAAAAAAACGTGATAGAAAACAAAATAGATCGTGTCTTATCTTACTAGCCATAAATACTGTTCCAACAAATCTTACTCATAGTCGATAATTACGTGAGTAATTTATACAATTCTAATATCTCAAATTTATTGAGACATTAGTTTTGTTTTAACTTAAAGAAAAAAGATATTTAAACGTATAAAATAATATTTAAAAAGTATTAAAATAATAAAATATTTAGCGTGGCAAGACAAATAAACATTTGAATGCTTCCAGACATTTGCATTCAGTACCAAATAAATTTTTTAATCTCCACGTATATACAGGGTGTTCCATTTTAATTTGCACATTAAAATATCTCAAAAAGTACTAAGCAAATAAAAAAATGTTTCAGACAGTTTCAGACAGAAAAAAATACACACTGACGAAAATGTTGAATGAAAACCATATTTCTTAAATCAACTATGCCACGGCTGTGCAAATACTTGTCAAATATACATGTAAAATTAAAACACAACTGTGCCATATTTCCATACATGCCTGACAATTGTCTTTCAGTAATCAAACTTTCTTACATGCAAACCATGGTAAGTGGAAAATGAATCTCGATAATGTCCCGGTTTGTAGCCGTCGCCAAGGCCGCAGACGGGAGACAATGGAGCTACCGAGTGGTCGACGGAAAAAGGGAACAAAGACATTGTTTTGTGCCTGGGAAAATACTTCCTTCGAAAGTAAACGCAAGAGGGGAATGCATTTTTCAAGATTAATTTAACATCAAAGTAATTTCAAAGTAGGAATATTCACTTAAAACAATTATTTTCTTTCTCACTGGCTTTAATCAATGTTATCAATCTGTTGTCTAATGGTTTTGTTCGTAACGTAAATTGTACACGCCTCCACATGCGCAAGAAACATATTCCACCGAAGAATTAATAAATTTCAGATGACACGTCCAAAATTTCGTTGGTCCGATTTATTATTCAAGAGAGGCGAAGCTGAGAAAACAATGAGGCCGTGGGTCTTTGTGTGGCCCAGTACCTAATATAACAACAGACCATTGTATGTAAAATACTTCCCGACAATAATTTAATATTCCCGTCTACGAGAAACAGCGACTGTGTCACGTTAATAAAGCATACACGATGAACGCATTAAACTACGTGTCGGCTCATTTGCATCGCTACGTGGGTGCGTAGATTTTGCAGAATTTGAAATGAAACGCCGGCTTTTCCCATTAACTGCGGTTGATAACAGTGGACTGTTTGATGCTTTATGCAATTTTTTATTTATACTGTACTATATTTTCTAAATTTTATTTCATTTAATTTATTTAGTATCGGCTTAGTAATTTATAGCGATCACTTTTTTATTTCACTTTAAACTACACAACTGACTTTTATTATTTTCATAAATCATTGAAAAATTCTCCAATAGCGACAATGAAAAAAATTTGGAATTTATTATACAGTTTCTGAAAAATCCTATTTCAAGGTCGTCGCTAAAATTTTCTACACGACTAAGTTCAATCGTCAAAATATTGTACATTTTTAAGATTATATTCTTCTTAAAAGAGAAGATTTTCTGAATTCACAATTAATGATAATTGTGTTATTTGAATTTACTGTTAATTGACAGACAAACTTTTCAGAAGTCAGATGCGATCAATCTTTTCGCCCGCAGACTATGCGACGACTATATCGGCAAATAAAAAGAATATGCACAATCTTGTCGAGTTCATCTCGTCTAGCACGTTCACCGCACAATGAACCGAACAGGCACGTGCGTGTTTTCGGATGTATACGAAGGCAAGGAGTGTTAGTTGAGTCATTTCGCGTAAGTAATTTCCGCGTAAGTCGCGGTTGGACATTCGTTCCCGCAGCTGCGAGTGCAGAGTCCGCTCAAGAGTTTGGCATCACCTCGATTCCTTCTTTGTCCCGCTTTGTCCGAGAAAATACTGCAAAATCAGCGAGCACGTGACTGAATCGACGTAAATAGTGAGGGGAAAAAAAATAACGAGTTCCGTTCAACAAAACGACACGAGGCACGATCGTGCGCGGCATGAGATGAGCTCGCGCGACGGTTTTACAAGACAAAGAAAAGAGCAATATTTATCACACAGCGGTCGCGTCGGCACACACGGCCCGCTAATTGTTTGCTTTTTCTCTTCGAGACGGAACCTTTCTATTTAATTAAATTGTTTTTATTCATTCATTCAATTACGCACAGAGACATTTGCGTGCGACTTTAAATCGAAAAATCAGATCGGGTAACAATTAATTAATATATAAAATAGTCTTTTCGTAGTCGTAAATCTAATTATATTCTTAGAAAAAGTAATAAAAGGAAGGACATTTATTTATATTTCGCTTCGTAGTGCGCTGTTTCGTTATTATTAGATTCAGTTGAAACGGCAGGAATTCCTTTATCCAAATCATGCTGATAAGATAACGTCGGGAGTATGTGTGCGTTACGCCATCGACATCGAGGTTGACGTCGCTAAAAAAAAACATTTCCATGCAGAGTTCTTTGTATCTGGACTGATCGATTCGAGAACGCAGACCGATAGACGCAGTCTTAATTACTGGATCGGAAACCTTTGTCTCCGAAGAGCGCAATCATACGTTACTGATATTCACGACTAAGGTAGGGGGAGATTCTGTTGCCTCAGAAATAGTATCTGTGTTCATTAACATAATGGACAACTTATTCACCATCGAAACAATAATCAAGACGAAAATTTATTCGATCGGCGCTCTCTTTCTTTTACGCAATGTTTATTAGTATACCTATTTTTTCCCAATTATCTGCGAGTGATAATTCGGGGATTACATTAAAAGAATATTGTGTCACGTATAAGACTTCAGTTGAAGAATACAAAGTTCGAAGGTGAAACGGGTGCTCTTACTGGCTTCTAGCGAATTGGGTTGCTTGCACTAGTGCGCACTGAGTGCTCACTGAAGCTTGTATACAGACAATTCTTATATTTAGGGATCGCCTTAAATATCTCTTGAGATCTGAGCGATCCCGAGCGGATCATTTTTCAGTAATAATTTTTCAACGTGTCTTTAAGACGAAGTTAAATATTAGAATTGACTGTAAACAGGTCTTAGTGTGCACTCACCCAGTGAGAAATGATTCGTCGATCGACGTCGAAATGGTGTCGAATCGACGTCAATTCGACGGTGTCGATGTCGATTCGACGTCGCTTCGACGTCGATCGACGAATCATTTCTCACTGGGCAGTGAGCACCAGTGCAAGCAACCGAATTCGCTATTAGTGCGCACTCAGTGTGCACCAGGGCAAGCAATCGAATTCGCTGTTAAATGCGATCGCGATACGATTTCAGCGCGAGTGCCCAGGTGTACGTAACGAGTAATCGGTTGCACCGAGGATTTCCCCCTGAAATTCGTACGTTTCGCAAGTGGCGTGTCCGCGCTCTCTATTTTCGCGGCTGACCACCGGGACGGCCGGGTTTCGCGCGTGTGTTTGCAGCCGCACATTACTCCGGCCTGTGTACGACGTGCAGGCCGGACGACAATGACATTCCGTGGCGTTGCCATTTTTCTAATCGTTTTAGATGTACAGCTAAGTCGACGGGGCCTTGGCTGCAAGCAGAAGCTAGCTCAAGGATGACGGCTGCCTGTCTATTCGAATTTCAACACGGTGCGAAGCTAAGCGGGTGAATGTCAGAGCCCCCCGGAGTCCCATCGTATGTCCGTAATGAGACGTATCTTTGCCGTATAATGCTTCTCGCCGCCACTCGCTTAGGTAGTCTTTATTTTTAGCTGGTCTCGTGAGTTTGTCTATCGAGCGTGCTCGGCTTATTAAAAAG